GCCCGACCCGAAAAAGGGGCACCCATCCCGGGGCAGCCTCTTCCTCAATGAGAGACACACGTGAAGTGGTTGGTGAAACATAAACATTTATATTGAAATATGCACTAAACAGTGAGCTCTACCAAGGATCAATGCCATTTTGCCAAAGCGGAATCTTCCCTTTTTTGTGGTGGTGGTGGTGGTGGTGGTTGGTCCAAAGGGTCAGCTGGCTACTGGGGCAGGAGAAGCCTCCCTCCAAGGGCCCAGCAGCAATTCATTGTGACATACCAGGGTACCCCCCCCCCCCCCCCCGCCCCCCGCTTGCTCACAAGGGAGCCAACTCAGCCCTCAGTTTTCTCCCACAAGTCCCTCACCCCCACTACAGTCACACACACACACAAGAAAGACAATATTCCTTTACCTCCGTTCGCACACTTTTTCTTTGCTGAAATAAATATAAAATTGGCAATATACCACAGAACAGACAAGATGCTGGGTTGCAGCAGCATATACTTGTAAACAGCAAGGAAATGAGAAGGACAGGCCAAGAGGAGGCCAGTTACATGAACATGAGAGGTCCTCAGCAGAAAATACCAGCCCAGGATCAGGATCTCTACCATTTCCTGCTGCAGGAGGACTTCTCTTTTAAAAATAATGAAAAATAAAAAGCCACAGCTGTGAAAGGGGTGACACTACACTGTTTTCCAGTCTGGGAAGGCTAAAGGCCCCTCTTTTGTAACATGGCATGGCAGACAGGAAAACACCTGACTTTCCTTTATGTAAGAAGGCGGCAAACATGCAGGGAGAATGGGCCACTGCAAACGAGAAAGGTGAAGAAGGGGCAGCTAATTCACAATTGCGTCTGGGATGAAGGGAGAAGCCACGGGGCCTCTGGGGCACAGCTGGCATCTCTCTAGGCCTGGCTCCCAGGTGAGGGACCTCGGGCAGCTTTTTCATCCGGGTGGAACGCACACCACAGAGGCATTTCGTCAGCATCAGGTGGGTGAGCCTCAACACCCCTGTTCCTTGCCAAGGCCTCTCCTAAGGGTTGCCCAGATCAGCCCTGGCTCGGCAGCCTTGGCCTTCAGGTCCAAAAGCACACTCTTGTAGAGCAGCAGGCTGGGGCTTTGGGGGAGCCTCTGCTGGAGGAAGTCTATCAGAGCAAGGCTAGACAAGGGTCACAAGAAATGCTAACTACAGGTCTACTGGAAAAGCATCAAAGGACGATGTCAGGGCATCTATTCACTCCCAGGAATTCTCCAGTATTAGGAAGAAGCATTTTTACTACAAAAAGAAGCACAAGGGTTGGGGGGGGGGGGAAGAAGCACATGCCCGTGCAAAGACTAACTACTCAGGTTTAAATAGGTCACCGGGTTGAAAACCTTGGTTAGGTTAAAGTAAGCCACAGATGAAGCACCTTTGCTTTGTAAAAACTTGTGTTGAAGAGCAACACCTCTAAACCCTGTTCTATCTAACAGCTGGTTTCTTTTACAGGGAAAATCTCTCACATTCACCTATCCATGAATTAAGGCTTTATATCCCTAGTCACCACAAAACTCTCTAGTCATTTCTGGTTGCTAGAAATGGGCTGCTCTCCAAAGAACGACTGCAATTCAGCTCTGCCCTTGGTTGCTGGAGACCTCGCCTGCTTCATCCGTACGCTTATACGAGACAGACACAAAAATATATGTACACCTTGAAACTTGTAAAGCTTCAGCCTGTTCCAGGCTTTGTAAGAAGGGATATGGACTATTATCTTAAGAGGGAAAAGTAACAGTCATTTGCTTCTTGCTCTTAAAAAAAAATTGAACACAAAGAGCTCCACACAACATTCTGCAGCACCGGACACCACAGGGAGAAGAAATGTCAGTTTTACATTGGTGGAGAGGCTGGCTGGAAAGCAGCCACCCAAGCCAAGGGCCTTTTAAGAGCTGGACATGCAGTGTGAAAGTGCACAGGAGGGGGCAGCTTCTTGCACGAGGCAAAAATAGATACTCCCCCCTCCAACACTCCCCTCCCCAGCAGGGCAGTGACATCCATCAAGCGCAACAGATGAAGAACAGACAAAGCGAGTCTACTCATTGAACATGGAATTTCTAACAAATCAGAAGTTGCCACATGTAGCTCTATCTCGCTGTGCCTGTGTGTGTCTTCGCAAAAGCCAGAAAGCAGCTAGTATTACTTAAAACAAAAACCCAACCCCAGTTAAGTATAAAAACTCTCCAAACAATTCCAACTTTTAAGGAAGCAGCTACTTTTCAGTTCAGGGAGTGGAATGTGAGTGCGGCGAAGGCGCTGAGACATTCAGGGCCCCTGAAATAAGCCTAGAGGCTAAGGAGGGAGGCCTGGCAGAGCGACATCAGAGCACGAGCAACAGACAGGTGATGGGTACATTCACACTGTAAACAAGAAATGACTAAAAGTAAAATCCTTCTCTGGCCATCATCATCTGCAGCTAAGACCACCCCTCAGGGGCGGCGCTTTGACCACACTGGCGGATTCACATGCTGCGCTGCCAGCCACCTCTCCCTCTCCCCCTCTCTTTCCAATGCTAAACACAACACCCGGGAACATTCAACAATGGAAAGCTCTTTGAATAAGAAGGATTCTGTAGTGCCAGGGTAAAAAGAACGGCACCGATGGAGCTGGGGTGCTATGAATATTGCTGGGATCAGGCCAGAGTGGCCTGTTTTTCTTCAGGGGTCTCCTCCAGCAGCTGCATGATCAGTTCATGGAGGGGCTTGCAGATCTTTGCATAGCCGGAGCCTGTGAGGTGTAGGAAGTCGAACATGTCATGGCAGGAGATGGTGCCATCCGAGTGCACAAAGCCTGCATCAACATCCAGAAGCTGGACATTGGGGAGTTTGGGCAGGGAGGTCTTCAGAAGCTGGTTCACCTTGGCGTTCTTCTGCCGCAGAGGGTTCGGCTTCTCACCACGTGGTAGCAGGCCCTGCAGCAAGGAAGAGGATGAGGGCACTTGAGTGGGCACCCAACGATAGGACTGGCATCCTTCTGGAATGTCAACTTGATACCTTTCTGGACAAGGAACCACCCACCATTTTGGTATCCATCCCACTAACTGCCTCCGCTGCCAGCACAGATCTTGCTCCCACTTCATTGTTCAGAAGCACTTAAAACACTTTTATTTTCCTGCTCTGAGAAAGCCAGGATGATTCCTAGTGGCATATCCTTGCTGTTCCTCTCCATTTTCTTTCAAAATGGATTTATATATACAACATACTAGTATTCTGTATCACTTTTACACAAAGCTCTCCACGCACCAGATCACCATTTTGAAGTATGCAGAAAAGGAACTAGGGTATATTTACAATTGCCTTTCTAAAACAATTTACTTCATTGAACTTGCATGGATAAGCCAAAAATTAAGCAGAAATCAATTGTAAAGTCCAGACTGGAACATCAGAGAAGCCAACACAATTACATTAATTACTACTCCACGAAACTCTTTGCAAAGAGGAGAGTGTGACCTTGCATCAAAGCTCTATGGAATCTTCTAGAAAAAGAGGACCTGCCATCTTTTCTTACATTCCATGGTCCTAGGGAATTACCATTGGCCCCTTCCATTTTTCTAGGCAAAAAGGGCTTAATGGAAGCTGAAAGTCATTCTCAAAAGTGCTTAGTGGTTGCTTGATAGTGGCTAGACCTACCAACACAATTATCTTGGCCTGGGGCTGCTGTGTATTGATCAGCCTCACAATGGCCTCTATCCCACCAGTTACTTCCTCAGCTGTGTTTTCATGGTTGTTTGTTCCAACCCAAACAACGATGACCTGCAGAGTGAGAAGGGAAGAAGTAAACAAAGAAAACAGAATGATTTCTGTGTCACGCAGGTTCAAAATAAACATTACATGATGGACTTGTGACGCTGTCCTTCACAAGAAGGGGCACCAGACAACCTGTGTGCCTTCTGCTTCCTTCATGGTTCTCCAAGAGAATTTTGGCTGGACCAACAGCCAGCAAAAAGGAGGATCTTCTCTCTCACACACAAAAAGGAGATTTACCTTGGGCTTAATATTCTCCAGCTCACCATTCTTCAGCCTCCACAGAACATGTCCCGTTGTGTCCCCTCCAATTCCAAAATTCAGTGCATGCAAAGGTGAAAAGAGTTCTCGCCATATCTGTGAAGAAAAATTCTCTAACATAACCAATCTAAAGAATCACTTCACACAATAGAACATTGAAGCTGCTAGCAACAGATTTGTTAGAAAAGAGAAACGGCTTATATTCAAATCAGGCCAGTGAGTCTCCGAAGTTGGGGAGCAGCACGGAAGACTCTTCAGACCTTGTGGTGCTGCTGCTCCCATCAACTCCAACCAACACACTCCAGGACTGTGGCTGTGAGAGAAATGGGAGTCCTAAAATAAAGACACCTGGCAAGGGACTCATCCCCACTCCAACCCTCTGCTTTTTGCAGATGCAGCTGTGGGTAGGGAAGACTTCTTTTGCAAGCGACGGAGAATCTCTCTCTTTTTAATGGTAACTCCCATTCCTTGAGTCTTAGACATGCTTTCTAGGCGTTCACATTATACACACACGCAGCAAAGCCTCTGTGTTCCACACACAGGTGTCCTGGGCGTTGGGCCAACAGGGCACATGGCACCAGCTTCAAAGCCGAAATACATGGCTATGCTCCCCTTCCATGTGCCTGGTGCTTCATCAAAGTGGCAACACTTAAGCAATAAGCATACTCTTAGCCATTATCAGTTTTCGCTATGAGGGGGCATTCACATGCAAATAGATAATGCTAGGATAGAAGACTGGGGAATGTGAGGAAGGGAAATCTTCCTAACCACACACCTTATTGATGTTTTGACCCAAGTGGTAACTTAATTTCAGATGTTCTCCATAACAAGCAAAACATATAATAATATTTTGTAAAGCAGAACTGTTTATAGTCCTAACACTCTCAATGCCTAATGGTAACTTTATAACTGCTAGTTTCTCAAGCTGTTTACTTATCACTTTCTGTTTCAATCATTTGTAACCACCTCAAATTTGTTTTTACCAGGCAAAACTGATACACAGATCAGACATAAACAAGTATTTTCAAAGCAACACTGCAAGGTAAATGACCTTGTGTGAACTTTGGAATGAACCAGAATTGAGTCAGGCACACTTGGCCTTGTTCTGCTAGCAGGAATGGCTAAAGAAGCCAAGGACTCTGCATTTCAGTGTTTGTTTGTTTTTAGCAAAACGCCTGAACCTAGTATTTTACAGTTGTATGTCTCCTACTGAGTCAGAGTAATGAGTCGTCTTTAAAAAAAGATATGGCATAAAACAATCTGCATTAAGCAATTCTGAGCTTTCTTTCTTAATTCCTAATGTGAGAAGTGATTTGGTGCATTAGACCGCAGTTTAGCGCTCTTTGTAGGAATCACAGGAATGAGAACACACAAACTGAACTAGCACTATATACTTTCTAGACCAACTAATCTAAAGGGAACCCCAGCCCTATAGTCTCTGAGTGAAGCAACAGATTCACTGAACTAGCCCCACACCTGCCTCTACCACAACTACCTCGTACTGTTGCAGCAGCTGCACCATGGAATCCCCCACAAACAGCACATCAGGCTCCTTGTCCTTGCAGTCCAGGACAAATCGATTATGCTGAATGAAGGAAAATGATAATTAACGCAAAGCAACATATTTCCAGCCCACAAAGAAAACTGCTTAACTAGCAACATGCCATTCTTTAACACATCACGAAAGTATAGGGACTCCTTATGGGGAGGGGGAAGGGACGTCACCCCCCCTAACCTGTGTGTTACTCTGGCTAAAAAGATCAGAGTCACCCCATTGACCCAGAAACCAGGAAGTCTTCCTAAATACTTAATTGTACCTGTGACATCCACCTGTCATCTCCCTGAACATCTTCAGCGGTGTGTGGAACTGCTGCTGGGTTGGAGTCCCCTTGGCTCCGTCTGTCCCTGAGAAGGCAAAGAGGGTCAGTCCCGAAGAGAGGGATGGGAAAAACAAACAAACAAACGCTGCGCCTCCAGGGACACCTTCGGCCAAAAGATACTCAGGGGTTACCGTAGGGGTCTCGCAGCCTGGCGGCTGTGCTGAGCAATAACCGGGTAGCGCTAGGGTGAGAGATGAGAGCTGGGTTGCCTGGGCTTCACCTCAGAAAACGTTTCTGCGAAGAGAAGGCTTGGCGCTTCAGACGCCGCTCAATCAAGCTCCCTGGGATGAGTTGCTGTTGCTATCCAAGGAGAGGGGCGCGAAACGCCCGGAGGGTCCCTGGAGGAAACGCCTCTCCCTCACCGTCTCCCCCCCCCCGTCGCCGCGGCTGTTCCGAGGGAAGGAGGGACCTCCGGGGAGGGAGATTTCTCCTTCTTCCAGGGACGGCCAGGCCACCGGCCCGAGAAGTGGGCGCCTGGGTGGCCGGGC